TATACTCCCAACAATGACATTGCAGATCAAATGAGATAAACATTTCACTGATTTCAAAATAACACATCAATGAACTTTAATTCGAGGACTCTGCACACAACAAAGTTATGTATGAATATTGACTTCAAGCTTTATTTTTTTCCCAGGCACTTATAATCCATCCACCAAAGACCTGGTTTTTTTGTTAATGCGAAGACAATACTCCTGTATTTCCTGTTGTGTTGCACTCACTGACAGTCTAGCAGATTTTTCCAACTTTGCACAGAAATGATTGTATATAAGTGAAAAGGCTGTTTTATACTACTGGGATTAACATTTATCAAGTGTATGTATAATCTCCAGCGAACATGTAAGGCATATCTTGCTACTGCCTGTAAATTGTGATTGAATTATGTGGTTCTATTTCTGTAACAATTTGATGATGCCTGTAAACTGGCGTCCCTCATGTACTGTACTATGAGAATAAATTTATTTATTTATTTATTTATACGGTGGCACAGTGGTTAGGACTCTCGCCGACCATGCACATGGTCCGGGGTTCGATCCCCTGCCGACGCACACCCGATATCTATGGTCGGCCTGCAAAATTTGGGCTACCGATATCCATGCTGAAAATTCCACACTTGTACTGGAAATACGGTGTGGCATCAAGCTGTAACCAAAATAAAAAAATAAAATCAAAATAAAAACACTTAAGTTTTCCCCACATAGAAAGTCAGTCATAAAGCTAAATGATCGTACGAAACTGAAGAGACTGTCAACAAGTTACTTCAGCCGACACGACTTTAGTGCACTAGGGTCAATACTTAGTACTCTTAGCTCCATCTCGCAAGCTCATAACTTGCGTATGAGAAATGAAGAATGCACCGCACTAGCCAGCACCACCAGAGTAGGTGCTCTCACAGAAATACTAAAGAAACGAATGTATCGCCAAAGCCATAAAATTACTCTCTTTATAAACAAGGGTAAACTATACAGCAACCATGCAGACTAATACCTCGCGGTACGTTCGAATTTGGTGACACTTTTGCACGTGTTTTCGCTGATATTCATTTTTCAGTTCTGCTATATTATCACAAATAATAATGGGCAAAAACTCTAACAAACGTATTCTTAGGAACTCTAGTAATCCAGAAAATAGCTTAAGCTTATCTAGTAACGTATTATCACCCCTAAAATCAGCTATAATTTGTAGTTCACCCAATACAAATACCTCCAACATAATGCTAACCCCTGTAGTACAGGTGGAAGATATCCTGTCAGCAAAGGCAGAGATTAGTAACTTAGTCTCTATCATAAACGACATGCAGCTACAAATAAATGACCTTAGGACGAAACTAAATCTACTTGACCCGGTACCAGAAACAATCTTCCATCTTAAAAAAGAACTGGGAGATCTCACTTTCCTAAAACTGTTTAAATTGAAGACTAAGCCAACAGATGCTGAAATGGAACATGTTAAGGAGCTAGAGAACGGTATGGACTATCTATCGAGCGAAGTTGTTAAGAGACTTGCTTCTAAACAGAACGCCATAGTGTACAACATACCTGACAATGAGCCCATAAAGTCGGTTCAGCACTCCTTGTTAAGGGCTGCAAACCTCTTAAGTACACCCTGTCAGTGTATCAGACTAAATAAAAAAGAGTTAAACCGCACATGTCCCATACTTTTCAGGTTTGACAGCTGTATAATAGCAGAACAATTTAGGAAATCTGGGGATACTTTGGCCTCCACCACGAAATTCAAAAATGTTAAGATAGTCTCGGACAAAACCCCCAGCCAACGACAGGTAGCTAAAAATACCTTAGATACGAAGACGATTATACCACAAATCATGAATAGCATCAGTGCCGAAGTATCGAAGGACACTGAAGCACAAAGTGACACTTGCATTGTACTAGGTGAACAAGCGACACGCGAAGGTGAAGGGAAACCCAAAAAGGGCAGTAACACTGGAATGAGTCTCAAAGTTCTTGAGAACACTCCTAGGAAATCTACCGACCCCGCACATGAGGTAGACATAGATGCTTCTGTGACAGATAACCTACAAATATCGGCAGATAACACTGCACCCAGGGCCAAGCAAGGTAATCTCCTTGTAAAAGCTGAAAAGAAGTCCCCTAAAACCAGGGTCTCTCCACAGGCGTCCACATATCTCCCTTGTGACAAGCCCAACAAGCAGCATGTAAGCCTAAAAAAGAGCTATGCACGCATTACGGCAGGTCCCATAAAGGAGACGGAACACGAGGGTGGAAGTGCTCTTCGTCGAACTAAGGGTGGTAGACAAACTGTGGATGACAGACTATACGAGGTCAAAACTAACAGCAAATATAGCTCTATCCACACAAAATCACACTCTAGCAGACACGCAAGAGGAGCCGAGCTGATTAAACAACAGGGTCAGACCCACGATTTCCGTAATAGCCGAGGTTGTAATATGCCTATGGGCTCATATAACCTGAGAACGGGACCCAGAATAAATAATCAAAACACATGGGCTACTAGACGGGACACCACTAGGTACCATATGGATGGAAATGCATACTCGGACCCTCATAGTAGCTATGTAAATCCCCATCAGCATAACGGGTATAGATTGAATCACGGTCCTTCTATGTACATGCACGAAATGAGTCCACAAATGTACAACTGCGAGAGACTTGGCACGCACTACCCTCAAAACAACCTAGAAACAGGTTATTTCGGCCCTGCAAATAACAATCTGAATAGTGAAACAGATTATCTAATGTCAAGGAATGATTCCAGATACCCACGTAATGAGGCCAGAAACCAAAATATGCAACAGGATTATTTTCGGTTGCAGCAAACAATAGCCCCTCTTGCAGCACAATTTGTTCAGGGAATAGTAGACACACTGACAATGTCTCATCTGAGAATCCCTCGGAACATAACATAGGCTACCAGGAGTTAGGGATAGTAACAAGAAAACCCACTAATTACCCTGCCAACAAAACTGGTTTTCTAAAAATTATGCTCTTAAATGCTCGATCTCTCCTTAACAAAATAACTTCCCTTCGCAGCTTGGTATACATGAGACGGCCAACACTGATTCTGGTAACTGAAACTTGGCTAACTAATGATATACCTGACACAAAGCTGATAATTGATAACTATGACATCCACAGGAATGATAGAGTGGACAAAAGAGGAGGCGGGTGTCTAATATATGCTTCTAAATCTACTGACCCCAATACTTTTACAAACCTAACTATCGACAAACTCCCAGAATCTAAGTGGATAAGCATCCACACGAATGAAAATAAAATTCTAGTGGGATGTATATACAGAGCCCCCAGCAGCCCTAAAACGACTGATACGGTTATCGCAGAAATACTAGAGCATGTACCTACCCTGGAATTCGACTACAAAATAATTTGTGGCGATTTTAACCTCCCCGGAGTGAACTGGGATACCTGCACTGGACCTAGAATCTATGACGAGCTCCTAGAAGCTATAGATGTAGGAGGATGGAAGCAGTGTGTACGCCTCCCAACACGACATAACAATATTCTCGACTTAGTCCTCTGCCACAAAATAGAGCCGATCTCGATAGAGGTGGGGGATAAACTCGACAACAGTGATCACAACATACTGTACTGCACCCTACCTCTTCAACTAATAACTAAACACACACCTAAAAATTCCCCGGTTCACTATCAATATAGGGACTATAGAAATGCCGACTGGGAATTCCTACCAACGCTCTTGAGAAGCTCTGACTGGGATGAATACTTTACCAATGATAACTTAGAAGTAACACTTGATACCTTCTACAAGACGGTCAGTTCGGTAAGAGATACAATCGCACCCCTAAAGTCTGCCTTAAGGACACCAACTCTTTTCATAGACCGCAAAACGCGATTAAAACTAAGGAAATTGAAAAGGAAATTTTATTTATATAAAGAATTTAGTGCATTACACCAGATACATGAAACATTTAAAAATCTTGAGCAGAGACATAAAATGAAGGCACAACTCGAGGAAAATAAAGCCCTAGGGGGCACCTCTAAAACTCAGGAACTATGCAAGATCTTGCGAAAACGACTAAACAAGGGTAAAGAAAATAATGTTGGCCACTTGGAGCATGAAGGTATAATTTATGATGATCCCCAGATTATTTGTGAACTCCTAAACCAATGGTTCTCCAATAACACCAAAGCGCATCCGTCTCCAATCCTCGATATAACCTGCAAAAATAACTACGAGTTAGGTGAAATCAACTTTAATATGCAAAATATAGCATCAGCGGTAAAGACACTAAAAGCTAACGGTAGTTGTGGGATAGATGATATACCATCTATCATTTATAAAAACGGTGGCTCGGATATGATAGTACTATTACTTAGAATATTCACCCTCTCACTAGTGACTGGGACCTACCCTGAAACTTGGAAAAACACGTATATACTACCTAAGCATAAAGGAGGGACCAAAACTAGTGCATGTAATTATAGGCCTATCAATATAACACCTGTTATATCAAGGATCATGGAGAAAGTAATCAAAGACCAAATGTCAGACTACTTTCTAAAACACAAACTCATCAACCAGTCACAACACGGGTTCCTTAAGAAAAGATCTTGCGTCACTTGCCATATAGACTTTTTCAACGAAGTAACCTATAGAAGAGATAGGAGAGAACTAGTAATTATCCTCTATTTCGATATCAGGAAAGCCTTCGACAGAGTCCCACATAGTCTGTTAGTCAGCAGGCTATGCTCACTAGGGATACGCAACCCCCTCCACAACTGGATAAAATCATTTCTCAGTGACAGAAATCAGACAACAAAAATTGGCTCGATGACCTCCAGGCCTAGGCCGATTAGCAGTGGTGTCATCCAGGGGAGTGTATTGGGACCCCTTCTTTTCATTATATACATAAACAGTATGTGTGAGTGCTTTAGTATAGGCAAGCCAATACTGTATGCAGATGACTTAAAGGTGACATATACCTGCACAAACACAGATATCAGTACAACTATGAACTCCATACATGAAGAACTAACAAAAATGGATATATGGTGTGACACCTGGAGACTTGAGTTTAATGTCGAAAAGTGTGGCTGGCTCTGCATAGGCTGTCCCAACCTAGAACTCGACCTAGCAATTCAGGGCCACAAAATCCCTAGACTCAAATCTGTGCTAGACCTAGGACTGACATATTCACACAATCTATCATTTTCTGAACATATCTCGAAACAAGTATCGAAATCACGCAGGCTTATTGGTTTCCTACTCAGGAACTTCTACAGAAGTGAATCCAGAATACTACTGTACAAGGTTTGTGTGCGCCCACTCCTAGACTATTGTTCATTCATATTTAGTAGTATACGCATAGAAGACAAACTAAAAGTAGAAGGAGTACAGAGGTACTTCACGCTGAAAGTAATCGGAACTGAAAACGGCACAAACTACTCTACCAGATGTGAAATTCTAGGACTAGAAACATTATGGTTAAGACGACTGCGGCTAAATCTGGTACTCTTCTATAAACTACTTAACCACATAGTGTATACCCCTACTAATTGTACTCGGTTTTCAGAAGACACTGGATATAACCTTAGACACACTCAAGGTACGGTGGCTATAGAACAATGTAAAACAGCCACCAGGCAAAAATTTTTCATGATTAGGTATGCCCAAATATGGAACAAACTACCTGAGGAAATGCGACTAGCAAGCTCACTAGTGTCCTTTGAAAAAGCTCTTAATGACACACTAAGTGGGTTTGTAAGTGATAACAGTGCTAATTCCCATGTAAGAGCTTCAGAAATTATAGGCCCATTTAATGTATGAACTTAGAGACTACACCTGTTGTTTCTTTTGCCTTTATCTATAATTTCAGACAAACAAGCAGCAGTCATGAAAATAACACTCATACAAATAAGAGTCGATCGAATTATGTCTACCTGATACAAAGCCTGAACCATAATCAACATATGAATGAAGTATGAGAAAACAAGGTCGAGACTTACCACAACATCACATGGAAGGATATAAGTTACTTGGACATTATTTATAATCCACCAACTGGTCTCCTTTCCAAAAGGAATGCGGCGATATTTTATCCACAGTTATGAGCAAATACATAAATCCACAGTTCCCGTTGTATACACTCAGTGGGGATTGCAGCCAACAAAGTAATGCATTTAAAGCATATGCACACTTCCCATATTCACGGCGACACCGCGGAATATATCAAAATCGCAGAGCAATCAAACCCAACAGGCGATGTAATTAAGTAAATCCGAAAGGCAAACAAGTTGTATTCCGATTTTGAATATTCGTCCATATGTCGATCATGATGACAAATCCAAATCACTACCTATACAGCGTCAATAAATCTGGATATCTATGAAATGACGAAAATATGCTGATAGCTGCATCTCAGATACCAATGACTCATTCAATGGCAAAATTCTGCTCCTGCATGCCTCTTTCGACATTTTTGTATGGATTGGTTCGCAGTTACTCAGGTTCCAGACAGAAAAGAATAAAAATTCACAAGTTGCTGAATTATGATTACTTCTCTGCATGTTTAACTGGATAATAACTGCTGTGGTGAGCCGTTTGCAGTTTATATTGCTTAAAACATCGTTTACGGTAAACTGAGTAACGTTTTATAAGTCATTTTTATACTTTTGTGACTAGCCCACCATATCGACCGAATGTAACGCAACACTCAGTTGTTTCGCTCATGTTCAACAAATTCAAACAATAATTGTGCCTAGGATTATGCCATATAAACTGTTTTAACTTATGCAGAGTGTACTTACGGTCAATATTTCATTATCTTACCTTGTATATATATTTTGTGTTAGTGGAAAATTTCAAACATGTTTACTCCATGTGTGCATTATTACCATATTGTTGATGCCTGTCAACTGGAGTCCCTCATGTGCATAAAGTGGGAATATATTATTGTAAGACGCATTTTATTGTTTTATGAGGGAATTGACTTCAAGCTTTATTTATTTTCCCAAGTGTATGTAATCCATCCAACGCATACTTGGGTTTTTTTTGTTAATGCGAAGTCAATATCTCTATATTTGTTGGTGTGTTCCATTGAATCACCAGTTATCCGATTTTCCTCACAAACTAAAGATAAAATGACAGCAACCATGTTATTTAACCGTAAATCATGTAATTTAAATATGTAACTTAAATAATTCTTATCCATTCCTATAGAACTTGTTTTTCCTATATTTGTATGAACAAATATGTACCCTATTATATTATCATTACTAACTATATTTACTAATCGTATGTGTAATTTATCGAAGTGATGATGCCTGTAAACTGGTGTCCCTCATGTAAAAAATGAGAATATACTATTATTATTATTATTAAATCCAGCCGCATTTATCAATGTTGAACTTTAAACAGGATTCAGTACACCATGTTGCGAGACTACTTAGTTCAAGATGTATTTTATTTACCATATCGCTTAGCTCATGAGCGTAGCAGGAGTAAACGACTTTGAGGTCGTCAGCATATAGGAATGATTTACCTGAGGTGAAGCAGTTGCAAATGCTGTAAATGTAGACTGTAAATAAAAGTGGACCTATGACACTACCTTGCACAACCCCACTTGTGATCTGCCTAGGATGAGACATTACAGATCCAACCTTGGTTATTTGTACCCTATTGCTTAGAAACGATTTTAACCAGCTCAGTAATGGATTGCGAATCCCACATGAATACAGCTTCTCAAAGAGAATACTGTGAGATACCATGTCAAATGCCCTAGATATGTCGAAGTAGAGAACAACAACTAGCTTACGTGCTTCGCGACTACTAGTGATGCAGTTGAAAAAGTCGAAGTGGCAGGTAACGCAAGGCCTATTTTTGAGAAATCCGTGTTGAGACCTTGTGACAAGATCTTCCTTAAGTAGATAGTCTGACAACTGATCTTTGACAACTTTCTCCATGATTCGAGAGACAACTGGGGTTATATTTATGGGTCTGTAATTGCGGACGTTTGCCTTATCACCGGATTTATAGTGTGGAATTATGAAGCTAGTTTTCCACTCATTAGGGTAAGTGCCAGTGTCCATAGATATTGAGAAGAATTTAAGAAGTAGTAAGGGTATATCACACCCACTGTTTTTGAAAATTACAGAAGCAAGGCCATCTGGTCCCGTGCTAGTGGAAGGTCTCAGGCTTTTAACTGCTTGTTCTATTAATTGGTCGGTGAACACTATGCTTCCGAGGAAAGAGCTAGTAAGGGAGCCGGTTTCACCGGGAATGCGCGTTTCTAAACTGAAGTTTGCAAACCACTCACTGAATATTTCACAGATAGTGGCAGGCTCATTGTAGATAACTTTGTCATGAAGTAAATAGGGGATGTTCCTCGTCGACTGCATTCGTTTTTTAAGAAGTGTTGTTAAGTTATAAACTTTGGAGGTGCTTTCAAGTGCCCTTATTTCTTCGTCGAGGTCCGTTCGAGAGCGTTGGCGCTTGATAGACTCAATAAACTCGTGAATGGAGTGCAGTAGTGATATGTCCTTATTGGAATAGTACTGTTTCTTCAACTTCCTTAACTTATTGCGGCATGCCCTCGGAATGTATTCAGCTTGGTGTCTACTTAATTTCACTACCTTCTTAGGAGCAACAGTATCTAGACAAAGGATAACATTCCTGTAAAATAGGGACACTACAGCCTCCAGGGAGTCAGTGGTAAAATATTCATCCCAGTGACAGAGTCGAATGAGTTCTTGGACTAATCCCCAGTCTGTATGTTTGTAACTACGACAAATCAAACTCCCTGAATCCTGTTTGTTTCCTGTATTTAGTGGTGAGAAAGGCAGAGAGCAGAGAACCATTCTATGGTCACTACTGGAAAATCTGTTACCAACATAGGTGGAGACTGGGATTGTGTCATGACAAAACACAAGGTCCAACATGTTGTCGCCACGAGTAGGTGTCTGGACGTGTTGCTGCCATCCATAACAATCGATAGTGGCAAGTAATTCGTCGAAGCGTTGCGGGGCGGAACTACTCAACCAATTGACTTCTGGAAGATTGAAGTCCCCTGCAATTATTTTGTAATTAGTACTAAACGATGAGGCGTGTGCGAATGATTTAGCTAATAACGCATCAGTTTCTTTGGTTGAGCTTGGTGCTCGATAAACACAGCCTATGAGAAGCTTGTACTTATCTCCTTGTAAGACGACCCAGAGTGAATCAGGTACCTCGTTCAGTATTTCATCTTCCACCTTACTGGCTACGAATGAGTTATGTATATATATGAGACATCCTCCACCACGCTTGCAGTCTCTATTTGCACGGTGTACAGTGTAATCATCTATGCCTATGTGCACATCAAGTACAGAGTATGAGCACCATGATTCAGTAATCAGAGCTACAGTAGGCTTGGCGATAAATAATAATGCCCTTAGTTCAGATATCTTATTGATTAAGGAACGTGCATTAATTAGCAATATCGTGAATAAGTCACGGGATACTACAAACTGGCTTAAGATATCACCATAACCTAACTCTGTTTGTGCGTCAACAACGCAAGAGTTTATGAGTGATACGGGGGTCGGACTGGGTGTCTGTACATCGGGGTTAGAGTGCAGTGAGGTGGCCCTAGGTGCCATGGGTCGTACCAGTGATTCGGGACACTTGGAAAATTTACCATGTGTTCCTGGATATAAGGATAGTAGAGGTTGGGCCTGGGTTGATGGTTAAAAAGCATAGCATCAAATGGTCTACCCATACACGTGCTATCCGTCATACCAGTACACACTTTCGTGTTGGTTTTATAACTTAAAAGAAATTGAAAATCAATACCTTGAACTTATCTTCTGAGAGCGATTTCAATTTAAAACTTTCACACGTTCGATTGACTATACCCAACTGAGTATGGATATCATCATTTTCGTTCAGAGCTAGTTTCATGCAATGATATCGAATGTTGGATAAAGATCTCTGATCACCAAACTGCTGACGAAGGGTATGGACAAATTCATCAAATGATCTTCTGCTGGGCTTCTGCGGGAGAATTAAGTTGCAATATTTATCTAGCTCATCTGCTCCCAATTTGCGAAGTAGAAGCCGTACTTCCCAGGCATCATCTCTATCCGCAAAGTCTACTCGAAATAGGTCTTCATATCTGCGAAACCAGGTATCAAAAGTCACGTTCGCTGCTGGATCATAAATGAATTCTGACATGCTACCACCAATGCTGTCGTTGGCTGTAGATGAATCGGCAGGGCGTACTATCTGTAGACCAGCAAGCATTTCTAGCATTTTTAGCTGCTGTTCCATTGGTTTCTCTAAACGCAGTGGGTTCATCTTGAGCAAAAGTGCTGACAAAATTTGTTATGTATGAATATTATGACCTTGTAGACTGCGAGTGAATCTAACTTAATGCGCTGGCTAATCTGTCCTAATCGCATGTCTACAACAACAACAACGACAATACCACCGTGCACGCTAGACAAAGAAAGAAGACTGGACGTTGATACGAGAGCTTGTACTGTCTCTACAACAGTCGAAAATGTTAAACAAAACTCCGTATTTATACAGTTAGAAAACTCAATGCCATATTTAAAAAATTTTAACCACCAATGGGAATTCAGTAAATTCAATCCTGCAGGTGCGAAAAATCAATATTGAAGAGTCAACAGTAATGACTTAGCATCCTTGAAAATTCCACTGTCACCATATCAGCACCCTGTATAACATCCATACAAGCAGTATCCATGATCTAAAATGGTTTACGAATAGCTTCTTACATGTTATTCAACCTACCCGTACAGAACAACCATGCAGCGACAAGTGGCAGATGACCTGGGCGCAGTAAATCAAATCTGCCTGACAATCACCAATATTAGTCTGCATTGAGTACAATTCACTTGTGGTGTTACTTACGATGAAATTGCTGACAAAATTATACAAATACATAACTTACTTTAAGTCAATACCCGATTTGGATATAAATCAAGAATAAGATTCGGTGCCGCATATACCAAAGTTATATGGGGGGATGACTTCAAGCTTTATTTGTTTCCCAAGTATTTGTAATCCATCCAACACATACCTAGGTTTTTTGTTAATGCAAAGACAATATTTCTATATTTCTTGATGTGCTCCACTGAATGACTAGTTAGCGGATTGTACCTACAAACTTAAGTGAAAAACGACAGCAACCATGTAGTTTCACCGTAAGCCAAATTTATGTAACTTTAATTATAATAATAATAATAATAGTATATTATCATTTTTTACATGAGGGACGCCAGTTTACAGGCATCATCAATATGATAAATTACATATACGATTAGTAAACATATTTAATAATAGTAATTTAATAAAATACATTTTTTCCTACCTGTGTAGGACACACCAATTTACAGGCATGGATAAGTATTATTTAAATTACATAAATTTGGTTCATGGTAAAATTATAAGGTTGCAGTCATTTTGTCTATGGGAACAATATGATAACTAGTCATTCAATGGAGCACATCAAGAAATATAGAAATATTGTCTTCGCATTAACAAAAAAACCCAAGTATGTTTTGGATGGATTACAAATACTTGGGAAAAAAATAAAGCTTGAAGTAATTCCTCCATATAACTTTGGTGTGTACGGCATCGAGTCTTATTCTTGATTTATATCCAAATTTGATAATAATTTAAAATAAGTAATACACTTGTATACTTTTGTCAGCATTTTCTTCGTAACATCACAAGTGAATAGTACTCAAGGTAGGCTAATAATAATGACAGTCTGTATTTTCTTATAAACGGGTGTTTTCAAGAAATGCAAGCTATTTTTGCAGACAAGATCAGTTATGTTGTATGTTACAATCGTGAAGCATTATAAATCAATAATTATTTATTGGCATAAAGGTATATTTCACAACTGTTATCCAGGTTGCGTCGTTGGTGAAGGCAATGCGCAATTCACGAGGGAATTGTAAGATATGGGACCAATAATGTTTGCAGATCATTTGTCATTGTAAATGGGCAAATATCTACATTCTTCATTCTCATTCAAAAAGTCAAATGGAAGCTGAAATGGTGAGAGACAAAAGAAGACAAACAACAACAACGCAAAAGAAAGCAAGTGGAGTACTTAGGGAGTGATTAATATGTATATATACATTTATATTCTGTTTAGTAATTATAGTTATTTTGGTGCACTAACTAACTAGTCCCGTGATGCTAACTTTTATATTGTGTGAACTAATATTATTGTCCTGTGTAAAAATGTCTATCATGTACTTCCAATAATATAAAAATTTATAATTGTAGTTTGTTGTAACTACACGTTTAATGAACTTAAAATATCTATGTTGGGCGAAAAAGTGGGTGTAGGATTCAGACGCAGAAGTGCACTGTCATCTTTGAGCAGTCTGGTGACTGAGGAGATGAACACTGCGAGTGTGTTTGCATCGCGCACATCAGCTGGTAGTCTATTCCAAATGACTGAAAACTTATTTAAGAAGAAATTATACCGCATGTAAGTCTGACAATGCTCTATAGCAGCTAGGTTGTGATGATTTCTAAGATTGTAACCGATGACAGCGGTAGGTTTAATTATTGGCTCGGAGGAGTGCACGAGCAGATTAGTTAGCTTGTAGTAAAAAATCAGGTTTAGCTTAAGACGTCTTTTCCAGAGCGGTTCTAAACTTAGTCTGTCGCAACGTTCATAGTATTGGAGACCACTTTCTAAACCAAGAATTCTTAAGGTGAATTGCCGTTGCACTCCTTCTAACTTAAGCTTGTCATTTTGTCTGAGTCCGCTAAGAATAAACGGGCAGTATTCTAAAATAGGTCGGACACATACTTTATATAATAAAACCCTAGTTTCACAACAAAAGAAATTGCGAGTTATGCATCCTAGGAGCCTTCGTGTTTTACGTCTGGCATAATCAGTTTGTTCAGAGAACGTTAAGTTACTAGAGTATCTGATACCGAGATCTACGACTGAGTTGAGCTTGGCTAGTTTACGCCCATTTATTTCAAGATTCAGGTCAAGGTTACTGTTTCCGATACAAATCCAGCCGCATTTATCAATGTTGAACTTTAAACAGGATTCAGTACACCATGTTGCGAGACTACTTAGTTCAAGATGTATTTTATTTACCATATCGCTTAGCTCATGAGCGTAGCAGGAGTAAACGACTTTGAGGTCGTCAGCATATAGGAATGATTTACCTGAGGTGAAGCAGTTGCAAATGCTGTTAATGTAGACTGTAAATAAAAGTGGACCTAGGACACTACCTTGCACAACCCCACTTGTGATCTGCCTAGGATGAGACATTACAGATCCAACCTTGGTTATTTGTACCCTATTGCTTAGAAACGATTTTAACCAGCTCAGTAATGGATTGCGAATCCCACATGAATACAGCTTCTCAAAGAGAATACTGTGAGAAACCATGTCAAATGCCCTAGATATGTCGAAGTAGAGAACAACAACTAGCTTACGTGCTTCGCGACTACTAGTGATGCAGTTGAAAAAGTCGAAGTGGCAAGTAACGCAAGGCCTATTTTTGAGAAATCCGTGTTGAGACCTTGTAACAAGATCTTCCTTAAGTAGATAGTCTGACAACTGATCTTTGACAACTTTCTCCATGATTCGAGAGACAACTGGGGTTATATTTATGGGTCTGTAATTGCGGACGTTTGCCTTATCACCGGATTTATAGTGTGGAATTATGAAGCTAGTTTTCCACTCATTAGGGTAAGTGCCAGTGTCCATAGATATTGAGAAGAATTTAAGAAGTAGTAGGGGTATATCACACCCACTGTTTTTGAAAATTACAGAAGCAAGGCCATCTGGTCCCGTGCTAGTGGAAGGTCTCAGGCTTTTAACTGCTTGTTCTATTAATTGGTCGGTGAACACTATGCTTCCGAGGAAAGAGCTAGTAAGGGAGCCGGTTTCACCGGGAATGCGCGTTTCTAAACTGAAGTTTGCAAACCACTCACTGAATATTTCACAGATAGTGGCAGGCTCATTGTAGATAACTTTGTCATGAAGTAAATAGGGGATGTTCCTCGTCGACTGCATTCGTTTTTTAAGAAGTGTTGTTAAGTTATAAACTTTGGAGGTGCTTTCAAGTGCCCTTATTTCTTCGTCGAGGTCCGTTCGAGAGCGTTGGCGCTTGATAGATTCAATAAACTCGTGGATGGAGTGCAGTAGTGATATGTCCTTATTGGAATAGTACTGTTTCTTCAACTTCCTTAACTTATTGCGGCATGCCCTCGGAATGTATTCAGCTTGGTGTCTACTTAATTTCACTACCTTCTTAGGAGCAACAGTATCTAGACAAAGGATAACATTCCTGTAAAATAGGGACACTACAGCCTCCAGGGAGTCAGTGGTAAAATATTCATCCCAGTGACAGAGTCGAATGAGTTCTTGGACTAATCCCCAGTCTGTATGTTTGTAACTACGACAAATCAAACTCCCTGAATCCTGTTTGTTTCCTGTATTTAGTGGTGAGAAAGGCAGAGAGCAGAGAACCATTCTATGGTCACTACTGGAAAATCTGTTACCAACATAGGTGGAGACTGGGATTGTGTCATGACAAAACACAAGGTCCAACATGTTGTCGCCACGAGTAGGTGTCTGGACGTGTTGCTGCCATCCATAACAATCGATAGTGGCAAGTAATTCGTCGAAGCGTTGCGGGCCGGAACTACTCAACCAATTGACTTCTGGAAGATTGAAGTCCCCTGCAATTATTTTGTAATTAGTACTAAACGATGAGGCGTGTGCGAATGATTTAGCTAATAACGCATCAGTTTCTTTGGTTGAGCTTGGTGCTCGATAAACACAGCCTATGAGAAGCTTGTACTTATCTCCTTGTAAGACGACCCAGAGTGAATCAGGTACCTCGTTCAGTATTTCATCTTCCACCTTACTGGCTACGAATGAGTTATGTATATATATGAGACATCCTCCACCACGCTTGCAGTCTCTATTTGCACGGTGTACAGTGTAATCATCTATGCCTATGTGCACATCAAGTACAGAGTATGAGCACCATGATTCAGTAATCAGAGCTACAGTAGGCTTGGCGATAAATAATAATGCCCTTAGTTCAGATATCTTATTGATTAAGGAACGTGCATTAATTAGCAATATCGTGAATAAGTCACGGGATACTACAAACTGGCTTAAGATATCACCATAACCTAACTCTGTTTGTGCGTCAACAACGCAAGAGTTTATGAGTGATACGGGGGTCGGACTGGGTGTCTGTACATCGGGGTTAGAGTGCAGTGAGGTGGTCCTAGGTGCCATGGGTCGTACCAGTGATTCGGGACACTTGGAAAATTTACCATGTGTTCCTGGATATAAGGATAGTAGAGGTTGGGCCTGGGTTGATGGTTAAAAAGCATAGCATCAAATGGTCT